TGGTTCGAAGAATGAGTTCTTCTTTTGCAAGAGTTCGCGATCGGTGTCGGCGAGCCAAAATTGTGGTCTCGTGGCATGCGCCAAAGCCTGGCCAGAATGTCAAATTATTCCAGGTTGTGAAACATGTACTTGTGAGATATATCAAGGTTTGCAGGTGGTTCGCTAACGTTCAATTTTGTCCAACCGTTACCCTAAGACGAAATAACCGGTGTAGGGCCTGCTGGCGCGGCACTGCCCGCTACCTCAACACATATTCCCAATGCTCTCCCATTCCTGACTCAAGAAATAGCACATAGTGTTTGGCCACTGTAATGATAATATATAAGCTCCAAAATGGAACGACCCAGCCCTACAACCAAAGAATCAACCGGTGAATATTAATTGTCAACTCGAGTACCGCAAACCTATTTTGAAAATGCAATCTCATGAGCGCAAAACAACCCTGCAAAAGAATCAACCTCGATTTGCTACTAGGACCATAGTCATAAGTGTTCCAACAATCCTATAGCTACTTCTTGTTTTTTAACAGAAATATTTACACAAAGTAACATTAAGATGACTCTTACACAACGAGAACATGTTTTAAAAACCAGTGACACCCCCGTCGTTTGACATGTCAAGAAGACGAGATTTCAAGTCAATGTTGTCTCTATACCTTCTCTATAGCTTCTGACGAGCTTTCCGAGTAATTGCAAACAGATAAATCCATGAAAAAAAAATAACCAGTCGAAAAACGACTTAAAACAAACGAGACTCATGTAAGTAACCGGTGTAGAGCGTTCCGCCGGGCCGCAATTTCACGGGTAGAACGGTCCGAGGGACCAGAAAATGCATTTACCAGCCAAACGATCGGAAACTGGCAAATTGGTGTAACTGCACGATAATACCCACTACTTAAGGTAGCGGGAAAAAAGATCGTTATTAATTTGAGAAAAAGGAAATCCTCTTTCAAAATTCAACCTCTTGTGCCCTACAAAAAAAGAAAATGGACACATCACCGAAGCGGGATAATGCTCTGTAATCCCTGTGACTACCTACTCTGAACCCGCACAAATGATCCATCCATATCTATAATTTTCATGCTCTCCATAGAAACACTCCTCCATATCAAACGTTCCAAGCGTGTCCAGTTCAGCCAGGAGACCCAATAACCTCTGCTCGTTGACCCTGGTATGAGGTTCTGTGGTTTGGAAGTTTTGTCAGTAATGAAATAAGGCAATTGGGCAGGTACTGCCACTGAGTTATCAAACCCAATTCTTCCAACTCATTCGAAGGAAGACAATAGTTCGTATGAGAGCACTTCCCATTCAAGTTTAATCCTTTTCAAAGCTCAACAAAGGTAATTGTTGCTATTGAAAAACAATGTAAGACTGTAGAATGTCAAGCAGTATGAATGGAATCAGTTGAAGATTGAAAGCTACAAAATAAGATGTAGTATGAATACAAATACATGGTCAATCTGCAATTTACAGCAAATACTTTGATAATGGAAACAAACAAATACTCAATCTCAATGTCACGAGTTTGAACAACCACTACTTTTTCTACACATGTTCATCAATGTTGTGGTTTGCTTCCCACATTGAAAGCACAGCCTGATCTCTTTGTCCATGTTCCTCGATGCATATGGTATCTTGCACATTCTCGATACTTATGCCAAGGGCAACACGTACAATGATAAAAGTTGGTGCAATTCCCTGTGTTTCCAATTATTGAGATTAGGAACAGATAACAAGGAAATCTGAAAAGCTCCTCTCACCACAACTTGAATCAGAATTGGGACAAAATGAACCTGAGATGCAGGTTTTTCCGCAGGTTGAAAGGTTGACACCAAGGCAGAAAGAAGAGCTAGAGGATACATGATTCCAGATTCTAGGCTGCGCATAGGATAGGTGAATGTCAAATTAAGAACTAATAATCTCAAATTGAAAGCAAGAAAACATACCAAATTGCTATAGTGTGTTTTGGAAGATTAAATTTCCTTGAAGGAAGAAATTTGGAGACTTGATTTTCAATCCACCAGATACGCCCAGCTGAAGACAAATTATCAGAATTGAAGATGTAAAAGAAGAATCAAACCTACCAATCATAAAGGGAAGAACTAGATTTGTGCAGAAGTTCACAGTCAAAAATGACTTGAATGCATACTTGTTAACAGCCATTATTCTTGCCATTGTGGCAGGAACTGTTAAAGTACTAGATCTTAGGCTTTCATGTGCCTGTTCAGCCACATCAACTACTCTAGTTATGAATTGCGCTAATGCGAGACCTTGATAGCTTCTCTCAGCAGTCATCATACAGAGGCGGTCACTGAATTACTTACCATTGTTAATGATCGATATGAGTACAGGAGGTATAATAATCCTTTTTTTTGCTCCCCAAACCTTGTAGCATCTGTGGATCTGTATTATTGGAGTCAGCAGAACATATTAGGTTACCTCTGCTGCCTGCAAAGACTAACCAAAATAACATCTGCAATGATGCTAGTTTCTGAAGTGAGTCCAGGAATAGAGAAGATTTACAAATGAAAACTTACTTTGCTAAAACATAGATTCCAGCCATAATTACACTGACTTGAATCTGAGTACAGATGAAGTGTGATTCAATATAAATGGATACCTTGAGATGTCGGCTAAGAGAACATCTTTAAAAACTGTAATACCAATGGCAAATATTTTAATTGATAGATTGGTGAAAATGCAGCCAAAAATGAATCCAAAAGTGGCAAGCACAAATAATGCAACAATAGCAGTAAGATGCAATCTGTTGACAGAACCCTTTTTATGTGCCATAATATACATGCAAGTCACAAACAAGACCAGGTAGACACCTAAAGATAGAAAAGGTGATTGTCAGTAGTAGAATTTTCAGTCACAAGGCTCAATACCATATAATAGTGTAAAGAACTACAACAAATTAAGGATAAGTTTTCATTCTGGATTACAAAGAAATAAACAAGTTTGACGTACTGTGAATGGAAGATTGTACACAATCAACTGAGAGTAATCTGGATCAGACATATTGTTGTAGCCTGGAGATGATCGTTGTTGTGAAATTGAGCTGATATATATGGGACTTGGGATGATAAAAATATAAAGATCGGAGTTATACCCTTCTCACTTTCTTACTTCACTTTCTCACAATGTCAATAATGAGAAGGCCGTTGGATCACAGCTCTATATTACATGCGTGCAATCTGATGAAAAGATTGTGGCGCATAGCTGCATGAGTGATGCTGAAGATGAGGTTTCTGATGGTATATATATCTCAAAATCAGAACAGGTAGATGTCAATTATGACCATTTAACGGTAGATGAAATCCTCTACAACTAGTCTATGCAACTACAACTGTGGAGTATGTCCCCTTAGCTAACTTTCTCCTTGTACAGACATTAAGGTCACTCTAATGTCCCACTGAAATACTCAATTTTAAAGATATATACCCGTTTTAGAGTGACATTCAGTAGTGACATTAAGATGATCTTAATGTCTGTACATCCGTTAAGTATTAAGGAGACATTCAAATGACATTAAGGTTTTTAAATGTCCAAAAACATGGGTCACACTCGACTCGATCGTGCTCGTGTGTACCTATATATAAACGCAGATCAACAAGCCCCCGTGAATGCAACCTTAAGTTCTACCTAGGTAAATAATGTATAGGCAGTAACACGTACTAGTATAAAGTCGCTGATGTAATACTCAATCCCTTGGCCCTCAGTAAAGGTCATTTACTAACAGCTGGCAAAGGCTATTTTGTGTAGACCATTGGTTGTAGTTTATATTAGTTAACCGAAATTGTCGTTTGTAGTGAAGGTATTCATGTACTTATTAGTACAGACGGTATATGAGTCAACATATTTTCTCCTCCCAAGATCAAAATAGCTGTCGTATCGTCTGCAACAACAGGTCTGAAAGAAGACGAGTTCACCTATCTTACTATTAAAGGGTTCCGCCATCTCAGCCTTCCCGACGACGTGTTCGTAGCTACCTTTACAGCTTAGTACTACTCGGTTTCACACCCCAGTATAAACCCAAACCAATGACCTACGCAAAAAAAAAAAACCTTTACCAGATACTAATACGGTAAACGACAGTAGAAACGAAAGTTTGGTATGCACGTAATGACGCTAGTTCAGACTAAGAGATGGTTTTTTATATCTTCCCCTCTCTACTTATGGTTTAAGGTCGACAGTACTACCTCTTTTCAACTAAAGAATCAAGTTTGTATTTTTTTACGACAATAATCTGGCGGAAGCGTTTCTCTTTAGACTTCCGGGGCAAGCATTTTTACCTTTACCCCAATTACTTTAAACCTTTACCTCTATTGTAACATTGACCCTTTTTTAACTCAATATTCAACGTAGCGCCGAGAACCACACACAGTAAGGAGGTTGATCTTAAAACCTGTCACCCCAACCCACCCCGGATTTGATGTATATGTGTGTGCTTCTCACAGTTCACATATAGCAGTCAGACCTATGAGCTCTGATCCGGATTTGGTCTTGAACAACCTTCAAGATTTGAGTTTTTTTAGGAGGAACACTTACGTCAGATAAGAAGGATTGTAGAAAATAGATGTTGTAATCCACATTACGGCTTAACTAATATAATAAAAGATTGTCGTTTTCGAGAAGTATCCACGTTGAGGGTTCGGAGACAAATCTATTTTACAACCCTTTAAGAGCTCACATTCTACTGTCAGTCGAACTGAG